GGTCTCACTCCTCTGGGCACTTTCTCGGTGCCAGCCTCGGGGACCTGTGGCTGGTTTTTGTCATTATATTGTAAATAAGAGAATAAACACTTGTTATTCTCTTACCCTTCGTGTCGCCTCCCTGCTTTTTGTTGCAGCCCAGGAGCCGGGTACGAAGGGTAAGAGAATAACAGAAATAACAAGTGTACAGAGAAAGTGCCCAGAGGAGTGAGACCGATGCAACCGCCTGGGCTCCTCCTTTATCCCGCTTTACCAGGTGCAGCTCATCAGATAGGCATCCGCCCACAGGTGCGGCTCATCAGCACCTGAACACACACACACGGCACTAATGAAGTGGTTAGAAGAATGTTGGGTTTTCTAAGTGCTCACAGTCACTTTTAATTGCACGGGGGGCATTTTTAATTGTGGCAGGAGGAATAATAGTGGATTTAATCCCTATCATAATGCATATTGTTCACACTTTTCCATTATGAGTGGAGGAGCGATGAATGAGCTGCAGACAAACTACAATGCTAACAGTGAATTAGCCCCGAGCGAAAAATGCTAACCTTTTACTGCACCGAAAATCACTCCTAGTTCCCTTATTACTTATCCTAGCTCCACATCCAACACATTGTTTATGATCGTAAAGACACATAATCTAACGGTGCCCACCTCTATAAGCAATACAACTGCAATTCCTTTATCTGCGTTATCTGCTGTGCTCCGTGCGCTTTGAAATCTAATCAAAAGTTGTTTACCTCAATTATTTGGCGTTTCTGCATCGCCCGGCTCTTTCGTTCTTTCAGTGGTTTCTTGTGCTGAAATGTGGAGGGGACGGCTCCGGGTTTCAGCCTCCGACGTGCTATTAATGCTTCTGCACCAACAGACTTCATGATAGCAGGATCAACGTCGTATGCATCACACGCGAAGTGATCAGAACACAACCTGCTCCATTTTGTCGGTTGCCATCCAACACGATTCACTAACAAAATCCATTTTTTGCGGATGATTTTGTCTTTGGGAAATACATGAAAAACTCTCCCAGATCCTGCACCGTTCGTACAACAAAAAGCACAACAATAACCCATGTTAATTCAGTTTTCTTGTCGAAAAACTTGTGACCGAGACTGCCGAGTCGGGATGTTTGGTCCAGAGACTGTTTGGCATGTATGACGTCACGCGCGCGGAGGCTGCTGGGGAGGTCATGTCAGAAATTCAGACGGCTTTGGGTCAAGTTTTGTATCAATAAAAAGCTTTTTTTCGGGTGTATTATCTCGATTTAAATTTTTTTTAAATTACAGGCAGTCTTAAAAACAACATTTCTATAAAAATGTAGCAGATTTGGAAGCTTTGCATTTGATCTTTAACAAGAAGGACAGACTACACTCCCATTGGCACTGTACACCAAACTGTTGCACATGAACTAAGAGGCTCGGGTCGGCTGTTGGGTTACAGAGCTATGTGGCAGACATTGCAACAAAAGTATCACCTGACAGTAAAAAGGGAGGATGTTAGACAGACGATTTCCAGACTGGATCCATCTGGTGTTCAACTTCGTTCCAGGCGAAGGTTTGTCCGAAGGGGATACGTCACAGCAGGACCAAACCAAGTGTGGCACGCTGATGGATATGATAAACTTAAACCCTTTGGTATTGCCATCAGTGGCTGCATCGACGGCTTTTCAAGGAAAGTTATGTGGCTCAGGAGTGGCAGCACTAACAACGATCCGGGCATCATTGCGCAGTATTACCTGCAGTGTGTATCGGAGTTTGGACTACTTCCAGCCCGCCTTTGCACTGACTGTGGAACTGAAAACGGCACTATGGCAGCCATTAACTGCACATTACGATCTCAACACAGAGATGATTTTGCAGGAGCCCTCAGTCACATGTATGGTACCTCAACTGCAAACCAGCGCATCGAGAGTTGGTGGTCTTTCAGAAAGCAAAGGTATAGCCTTTTAAGGTCAGGTCCAAGAATGTATGTGTGTGTGTGTGTGTGTATAGTACAGAGGTGCCCAAATACTTTAAATCTATCTGGATGGAAAAAATTGTGAAATTACATTAGAGCTGTACACTAACATTTTCCCAAGGGAGTTTATGTGCTCCCAAATGAAATAATGTAGGAGCGCACCAAGAAATGTACAACATTTCTAGAAATATTGTGACTTTTTAGAAAAATATTGTGACTTTTTACTTGAAGTTGTCTTTTTTTCATGAAATACAAAAGTTTTGAATTCCACCATTAGGACTCAGTTCTGGATCGAGCTCTTCAGTGACCTTAGAGAGAGGCACCTCTTCAATGGGAGCCATGAGCACAAGTGTCTGCTGCGATATGTGTTTTTGGGCATCTTACAAAAAGACCTCGATGAGTACAGACAGCTGTGGAACAACCACACCATCCGACCTGTTCGCCTGTCTCAGTGTCCATCAGGTAAACCTGATGCCATGTACCACCTACCTCACAGGTTTGTATTGAAATTGTTTGGTAATATTACTTTAAAATATATCTGACTTCATATAATTTGGTGTATCAGCCCAATATGACAAGTTTGTCACTTGATAAATAACGTGATTCATTTAGTCTGAAAACTCATTATTTCAAAATGATTTCAAGTCTTAAACGACTAAAAATGGATTCCAACACAAAACCTAAATCAGAAAATGTCCAAAGCTATTCTGTCAATTTATCTTACTCAATTCCAAAAAGTACCTTGTGTTAGAAAGTGAGTAGAATTACCATATTTGACTGAAAGAGCTGCTGTCAACCTGAGATTAACTTCTCAAGTCAAAGCTCTTTGTTTAGGATTTAATTAACGAATAACTGACTCAATGGAGTTTTAGTTATAATGCTTATCTAGCATGTTTGGGGGGTTAAATGATCCATTTGTAATCACTTGACTCATTATGTTTCAATTTATGACTGGTCTTAGGTTTGGCGGAAGGGGGTGTGGATTTCCAGTGTCCTGGGAAGCCCTACACCACTTTGATGGCATCATGCAAGCATCATCCCAGTACAATTTGTGTGGTGATGAGAATCTGGAGATTCATTTTGTGGACTTGCAAAGACGGAGTGGGTTGGCTCCACCAGTGAACTGGACAGCTGCTGTTCAGAATTACATTTCCATGAAAAACATGTCTGAAGTGTAGAGTACATTGCCCCACCAGCCCCCCAGAACCTTTTTTGTGTGTACAAGTTTCCAATGTAGGTTGCATATTGTTTAGAATGCTGCAATTCTGAGTAGATAAGTCCAGTGAAATATTCAGCTTGTATCTTTGCATAAGTCATTAGACTGAAACCTTTCTTTGTTTAAATAAACATACAGCATGTGAAGTAAAACTTCTGATGTTGCAATGTTGAGGTGGAATGAAGGAGTCTGGGTCGTCGTTAGCCAAAGCACTGAGAGTTTATTTTACAAGTACATTAATACAGCCGGGGAGATCACTTAGTTTCACACGTCCTGTGCACCCACCAAGCCATCTCTGACCACAAAGAAGACACAGCACGCAGCAACATGAGAAGAGGCGGAGCTATCAGAAGCCCGCGTTTTACCTAATCAATAGCAGATGTGAGACAATAATCTGTTTGTCTCGCGAAATGCAGGCAGGCCTGGACCCTTCCCCCCACAGGAAAGGGGGAGAAGCTTTTGACCTGTGACCTCAACTTTCAGAGGAGTTTTGACTTTTAATACAAAGCATGTTTGCAATATCACAGATTCTAAGAAACAATAAGAAACTCTATAATCAAGATCAGATTAAAATATTCTCTTACACAGCATATTCATGTATTTTGTAAAACATGTTTAGTGTTACATCCGTGTTATCAGTTGAATGGTCGATCGTCAGAAAATTATACACCTAATATTTTGGTAATTGATTTTAATTTTGTTTTGAATATAAGCAGGTTCCAGCCTGTAAAATGTGATTATTTGCTGGATTAATTTGTTCTCTGTGGGGCTTCACTTTCTGACATTTTAAAGACCAAGGCGTGTCCGAAATCACTCTCATTCACTACTCCCTACTCCCTATATAGGGAATTCTATATAGTGAGTAGTGAGTGATTTCAGACACAGCCCATAACAAATTGATGAATCAACAATAACATTCATTCATTGCATCAGTCACATATGCTACTGTTATTTCTGTTTTCACAGTGGATCTGAGAATAAAATCTTGTGAACCAGCTAGAGCCGTGTCATCTTTGTAGCGAGTGTGTAACATATATGCTATACGTTGAAAAACAAGTCCTTACGTTAAAATGAAACACTTTTAAACCATTTAATGAAGAGTCATTCAGCTTTACTCTTTCACAAAGTCCATGTAAAAACATGATAAAATGGCCAAAACAAAATTGGCACATTTGCACGACAAGGTGCCTTTTACAGTCTTTATTTACTGTTTATGTAAATATTTGCAAAACATCTTAACACATGTTCTGAACTCTTGATTTAACCACGGTCTACCTTACCTACCTAACGAGAATACAATAACAATACAATACAAATGTGTGGTGTTGTTCACATGTTAGATATGAAATAGGACAAATCTGCCATGAAAAATACTCATCTCTCTTACGTCACAACATTTTGGTCTGACAGACCGCAACATTAAAACAATGGACTGTGTACTGTGTGTGGCAACATTAACTTTTACCACAAGTTATTTAATTGTTTAAAGGCACCCAAAGCCGGGGGAATTATTAATGCCAAAGTTCATGTTGACTTTGAAGGCACCATAAGTGTCCAAAAGAGGAAGCTTTAAAATGTTGGCACAGGTATTTGCCATTGTGAATGTTGACGTTGTAGAACATAGGAACTGAAGGGATGGCAGAGGACTCATACCAGCAGGAGGCACACATGGCACACCTGTAGCGAACATTAACACCTCCTCCAAGGTCACTGAGCTGTCATTTTCTAAAAAGTAGAGAACATTGGAATCAATTGACAGTAAATACTATCTACATCAACACCGGAACTTTTTATAATCTGTGTGTATAAAAATCAGACAAGAGCAAATTGACTAACCTTCACAATCGAGAAGATAGTCTGCCCAGTAACTCATAGCTTTCTCTTCCTGAGCCCTTCTGTTGCTTCCCTGTTGACTAAATTCAGGCTGGAACATATTTTCCATCTCTGCAGCAGACAGCTTCACATCGTCATGACAGAGAGCAGGGGTCAGGACCGTCGGATGCTGCTGCAGAGCTGTCAGAAACTGCAAACTTTCAAGTCCAGCCTTGAATCTAAAATACAATTAAAAGATGCATGCAAAGATACATGTGCATCATGTAGAAAGAAGTAAGTAAGCAAGAAAATGGGACAACAGCAACACGTTTTTCATAATTATTTTAGCAAGGCAAGGCAAGGCAAGGCAAGGCAAGTTTATTTATATAGCACTTTTCAACACAAGGCAATTCAAAGTGCTTTACAAAAAATGAAAGAGATTAAGAAAATGGCATTTAAAATCAGTCATTAAAAAGAAAATAACAATGAAATACAAAAACCTACCTTTCGATTGCAGTGTTGTTCCTGTGGATTATGTACCACTTCAGGTAATCCTCTACAATAATTTGTTTTTCTTCACATGACCTGACATGTCTGAAGTACCCAGCAGTCTGCAACATGGCACTGTTCCATATCATCAAGTCCTGAAGGATCTCCACTGAGGGTGAATTCTGAATCTAAAAGAAGAGATAACAGAGTCCCACACATTTCAAATATGACACGTAATTATAAAAAATGGTAATGCCAGAAGTATATCTTGAAAGAATGGTTTAAGTGGACAAAACTCTCTCTTTACCTATTCTAGAATTTCACACCCTTCTCATACCTCTTGTAGGACTTTCCCTATCTCCTCATCTGTAATGTCTCCGACAGATGCCTTGAAACTGCTCTGCCCTGAGATGTAGCTGACCAGATCCTCTGACAGAAAATTAGGACCAGGTCCACCATGCACAATGGACACAGCAATCATCTTCCCTGCTAAATAATACTCATCCTCTCTGATAGCTGTCCAAGATAATGCAGAATAAAGAAATATTAAATCAGTTTCCATATTTGAAAACACTGCAAGGTTGAAATATGGGTTATTTTAAAACATTATACACAAAACAGAACCTGTTGAATTGTAGACCAGGTCGCGGCTCTCCACAGGTCCATCAAATATGGGCCGTTTGTTCAGCTCTTTCATGAGAAGGGAGAGGAATTCTCTCTTGGGGCCACCTGTATCGAGACCTTCCTCAAACCTCCCTTCATCGTCAGATAATTTCACCAGGATGTCTTTCTTTTCTGATAATGTTGCCCTTTTGAATCCTCTGACTGCTCCATCCCAGATGTTCGAGCGACAGATGTTAAATCTGCTGACAGCTCGATGGTCAATCTCTAGGGCCAGGTTTGCAGTTATCTCAGAAAGTGATTGCTGGTCCACCCTGTCATCAGATAAATTATGACCATGTTAAATGGTACACCATAGCACACATTTTTGATCAGGAAAAATAACAACCACAGTTGAAGTAAGGGTAACTTTTCTCTTACTTTGTATCCTCTGGAATGTCATGACTGCACTCAACACTGTCTGAGTCATCCTTATCCTCTATTGCAATGGGTGCATACAGCTGAGTATATTTGCTGAGAAATTGACATACACAAGTTTACATTGTTGATGTTTTCATATAAAACATACTTGAATTGTAGAAAGGAAAGTATAATACCTATAGCACACAGTTTCCAGCACACCTCCTGATGTTCCTGGGCCCTCTTGTGAGTCAGAAAATAAGACCTGAATCACAAACCATAACAGGGATAGGACAGGTAAGTTGAAGTATTTTAAATCATGGCTATCAGAGGGCTGATTTAGAAAGAAAAGACTATTCTAATGTACACAAACGTGGATCTCTGGGTCAGTGTGACACATTATTTCATGTAGTTTAAGACATTAATTGTGTGACAATATTTTCAGACAAGGCTAAATGTGAACAATAGACAATGTTTAGGAGCCACAATTACCGGAGCTGCTGAATCAGTGCCTGACTATCCATCTGCAGGTTCCCATACCTGGAAGTAAAAAACAATATATCAGTGTGACACTTCAAATTTGACAGAACTAGAGCTTAACACATTTGAACATAAATATTGAATTATATTATTCTGACTGATAGTGTATGTGATTTGCGACAGGGGGAATGATCCTTCTTACATTATCACTTTCAGTGAAAAACATACAAATTATTATGGTGTGATTTTGCAGGGATCTGCACTAAATAAAGTTGTTTTCTTAAGTTTGTAAAATATGTGTAGGCCAGGACGCTGCAACATTTACCGCAATTTAAAATGCTATTTTGGGACATGTTTCATCGTAAAAATATGCCGTATATGTGAAATCTAGAAACATTTTCACTTCCAGATAGAATTTACAATATAAGCGATCTAAGATACAACAAATGTAGTACTCACTAATGTATCAGCTGCATTGAATTCTGCAGAAGTTGGACTCATGATGATCACCTCTGAATCCGATGAGTTGGATTCAGAGCTGGTTTCCTGAGCTGTGAAATACAAGAACAGGTATAAGAGAATTTTAGACTACTCAGAACAACAGAGTGCTTTCCTTGACAAACAAATCAATTAAAAAAGCTCTTCTTGGTTGGTAATTCATTTCACAATTACTTACAAGATGTAAAGAAATCTTCAGCTGTACAAATGTACAGTGTGATACGTTGGTAGGCCTTCCCCACTACCTCTTTGTACTCGTTTAGAGTGAAGGGTACTTCTGTTCCTGGTATATTAGTTATCTTTGTACCGTCAGGGTAGAGCAGTACGTAGGGACCGCCATGTACATTTCTGTCGAAGGTCTTCATTTTTTGCTCAGCAGCTCTCTGCAATTCGTCCGCATCCGACTCTGGTCGCATCAAAAGGGGAAGTACTGTTCCTCTTACAGTCTTCAGTACACCATCTTTCAGCCTCATAAGGCCTACTGAAATCTACAGAGAAACAATGAAATAGGCGACTGTTAACTAGTTCAGTGACACTATAAATACATGACAGAATGGACTGTCGGCAAATTATTAGTATATCTCAGCAAAAAAATGTACCTTCACAACCTTCAGGTTGTCTTTTGATGGTGTTTTGTTCTTCTTAAAACCTGCTCGTCTCTCCTTCTCTTTTACACTCCGGAAAGTCCGAAATAACTCCAGTGTGCTTTTTCCTGTAGCCTCTGCTTGAAATAAGAGTCCAATCAATCGTCAATGACAAAGAACAGAGAGACATACAGTGTTCTCACCCATACTCATAAGATATAGAGTGTACATTGCCTAAGCCTAATTCAAAAAAATAAAAAAATAAAAATTACCTCCACTTGTGCCTGTTTTATCAACATCACACAGGAATTTGATGTCCGTGCCACATGAACAGCAAAAGGCTGATTTAGAAGCCTGCTGCTGTCCACAAAAAGGACAATACATTATGACCTGCAACAAAACAAATAAAGTATCATTAGGTTGCTTTGCGCTTCAATTGCATGAACATCTATCTATCTATCTATCTATAAAGCAAGAAATGTCTGTTGCCCCTTTCACACCAGCGCTTTTTCAGCTCCGGCTCGGAGCTGGAGCCTGAAAAGCGCTAGTTTTTCCTGTTCACACCGCAGCGGCGCCGGCTCTTAGCTCCGGAATCGGGTTCACTTCCAGCTCCAAAAAATTGTCGGTCTAGAGGCAAGAGCTTCGGAGCTAAGAGGTGGCGTCGCTTACGTCTCTCTTACGTCGAGGCGTGCAGGAAACTAAACCCACCTCCCCTGAACATGGGTCGACTGTCATGCCTGCCTACAAGCAGTAGTGCTTATAAACACACTTTATAAAGTCAGGCAACACTAACCAGGCTTCGTGTGATTCTGTTTATTTGTACCTTACTTTGACCATCCGTTCATTGTTATTGATCATTGTGGAGAGAGGCAGACGTTTTGTTTTGTATTATAGCAGCTATCGGATGGAATCAATACATGGGCTGCACAGGTTGTCGTGTCCGACTATCACAAGTAGAATCATAATAAAAATACGCCGGTAAAATGTGCCTGTAGAAAACGGTTTATGCCACAATAGGATAGCAATAGCAAGTAGTCAGTTTAGCTTTGGTTGCTATGCTAACATCACCCATTTTATACCAGAGAAACTTTCATAACAGCGTTGTGATACCAAACAGCGTCAATTCAGACTGACACACATTCACTTAGGCTAAGGGGAACTGGGGATATGTATCAGCTGCTTGTGTGAGTCGGACAGTGAATACTTTAGAGCGGCCGCAGCAGTGTGAGCTAACCGGGAGCTAACGGGAGAAGAAACTCCCGTGGAAGAGCAGCCAACACTGCTGCAGAAACACATTAATAAACAATGAACCACGGCACTCTGGAGAAAAGTATAAGGTTGGAGAAGTCGTTATTCAATTTAATCTGGCTTCGTGTGATTAAAAGCAACACGATCATCGACCCGACGCAGTTCCCCGTTGTTGTGAGCGCCGTAATGCCGTTGGGGAGCAAATCAGCGATGTAAACGATGACTTCATGACGCAGCAGCGGCAGCACCAGTCGGGTGCTGGGCGGTGTGAACAGAGCGGGAGCAGAAAAGGGAAACCGGAGCTGAACCAGAAAAGCTCTAGCTCGGAGCTAGAAAGGGAAAAGCGCTGGTGTGAAAGCCGCATGTGTGTGTGTATGTGTGTCTGTGGCTCGCATATCTCTCTGACTGTTTGTCAGATCGACCTAAGCTTTCGGATATGGCTTGCGGATTGCACGATGATGTGCATCCTTCATTTAGAATTGTTTGGGATTAATTTTTCTAAACCTTTATTTTTGACGAATCTACGCGCTCCGATCGGGTACGCCCCCCGGACAACATTGCAAGCAGCAATTATGGGAGCCAAACAATCGGTCCGCTTAGTACGGGCACAAGCTCTGAACGGCCATGCCCCGAACGGGCACTGCACTAGTTTTTAAATAACACTAACACATTTGGAAAGACTAATCAGTACTACTTTCAACGCTGGCTTAAAGGTCCCATGTCATGGCCATTTCCACTGATCATAATTCCATTGTTGAGGTATACTAGAATAGATTTATACTGTGCAATTTTCCAAACTCACATTGGTTTCGCATACAGCATCTCTGTAAAGTATGTGTATTCAGCAGTATTCACTCTCTCCACTAAACGGCTCGTTGCAGCTCTTGCCCCCCCCTCCCTGTGAGCCCAGTGTGCTCCGATTGGTCGGGACCAGTCGGGACGTTGTGAATCGCGCTGAACTCCGTGGAGGTGTGATTTCCTTGTTTAGCAATGCACAGCGAAACACAGCCAAACTCATCCTGAGCACACACAAAGTCACAGCCGAAGTAAAAACAATAAGTGTGGCTTGATATTGAGTAAGAAAAAGGTTGATAAACGCTGTGAGAATGGGTCTGCAGAGAGAATGGGTCTGCAGAGAGAATGGGTCTGCAGAGAGAATGGGTCTGCAGAGAGAATGGGTCTGCAGAGAGAACGGGTCTGCAGAGAGAATTTCGCCGTGATCCCAACTGTCTGTTATCAGCCCGCAGCCAGGGAGGAGAAATCAGCAGAGCTGCCTGCACTGAGTGTGTGAGGAAGTCTGTGGATTGGTCAATTTGGACCAATCAGCGGGGGTTTAACGTAACGGCTCCACGGATTGGTCCATTTCGTTCCGGGGACGACATGACATCATGATGTACCCGGAAGAATCAAATGGACAGTGACGTATCTCCAACGAGGCGTTTTGGGGAGGTATTTTCTGTTTTAGAGTTTTACTCGCTACAGGGTGTACTTTGAGGGTTTTGACTCTGCAGACCATTTACATGCATAAAAACCTTCATAACACACAAGGGGACGGGTACTAACCGGAAAAGCATGACATGTCACCTTTAATACAAGGAATATCCCAACATGGATTGCAAGTGTGTCTTAATCACGACATTCTGTGTGTAATACTGTGTGTGTGTGTGTGTGTGTGTGTGTGTGGTGTGTGTGTGTGTGTGTGTGGTGTGTGTGGTAGTCTAGATTTAAAACGGTTCAAGCTGCACGGATAAATCGAGCAGAACAGTTTTCAAAGACAAGCAAACAACTTGAAAATAGCTTTCTGCAGTTTTGATCAAAGCTATGTTCTACTAACATTATACACTACACACATAATCTGCTCCCACACACTAAATAACGTCATTTAAAGTCATAAATACGGCAGCGACAGATATTATCTACATCCTGTGTAACTTTAACATTATAAACGTACCCATGAGATGTTTCCTGGAGATCCCCCAGCCTTCTTCTTCTCTCGCATAAAAAACCGCATGTGCATCAGCAATAATAGTCCCCGGTAATTCACTTCCGTTGTGGCTTTTTTATTTACATCGCAGCGTTTTTATTTGCGCGGCGTTTCTGTTTCTTTTTATTTGCAGCGTTTTTTTTATTTGCAGCGTTCTTTTATTTGCAGCACCCTGGCCTCTCAGGGCCACCGTACACTGTTGCTATACACCATAACTACCAAGTATTTCCTCTGAACTGCAAGTTGAAGAAACACCTTTGTATACAGTTAGGCTACAAGTTTGTTGCACAATGCATGGACTTTGAGACATCTTCAGGACATTTAGCTCAAGAAAGAGCTTCTGAAATACTTCAAAAGTGTATTTCATCTTCGGTGGATAACTTAAGTTCATTGCATATATGAAGCCCGTGAGCAGAAGGCAAGCCTTTGACACACATCTGCAGTCATCAAGAACCTCACTTCCCTCGATGATGATGGACACATCGGCAGGGCCTTCGTGTGCTGCACTTCCACGGAGGACAACTATTTTCATGACGTGCTCAGCAGAGTCCTCTGTGACGAATTCTTTGCTCACATCCTGTCAAAACATGTGAATCGGTGATGAGA